TACTGATTTAATACATATAATTAATACAAAATATAACAACAAAAGTGGCACACAATCATCAACAAGATGTCTACTCCTACATCCTTTTCGAAGGTCGGCACCTCTTGATTGTCGATGAGATAGAGCCCTTTGGCTTTGGATTTCCACTTCCTCTTTCTCTTCCTCTTCCTCTTCTTCTTGAGAGAAATGACCCCTCTTGAAGCACATAAGGGGACATCGGTTAACACACTTAACCTTGCATTTTTCATGAGGAGTTTCATGGCCACATTTTGTTGAGTGTTATTCCTTATGTTAGCAGCCATAATAGCCACTTCCTTGGTAAGTTGGGCAGTAACTCTCACGCCACGTGGTCTATATTGGTGATAAGGTCGATGATGATCTGTTGGAGTAGTTATCCATAGGACCCCTTTTTTCAAGGAATTTTCTAACCCTCCTGGGTAGGACTTCTTCACTACTTGAGCTTATTTCCCTTAGATAACTCTTGTCTTCAACGACATGGGGGTGATATAAGTGCATTTTTATCTTAAAATAACCCTTTTTTCAAGGAGTATCAACAGGCTTGTCACTGGTGTAAACTTCAAAATTTTTTAGAAGGCTTCTACTTATTCATTTTTTCAAGAACAAAAGCCTTTTTCAAGGAGGAAGCCAAGTAATATTCCTACAAGGTTTTTTCGCTGGATTTGATCCGGATTTATAGTGTGATTTTCCACAGATAGCGTCAATCTGCTAATCTTGTTTTTTGTACCATTGGCGTGACAATATATCTCAGCCTCACTCACATCCATGCAAGCTTACTCCTACACACTTGGACGAACCACTAGTCAATGAGGATTTAAGATTGAGTATCTAATGTGTGTTAGATGTGAGTCACTTAATTGTTCAAGCACTAGGGATGTACGGAAATATATGAGAAAACGAGAGAAAATGTGACAAAAGCTTATTTAAAGTCGCATCATTTCTCAAATTACAATATTTGAGTTTTATGTTAGTAGGAACGAAGTGGAAACCGTTAGATGAAGAAGCATGTGTCTTCATCTTAACAGTTAAAGCATCCCATCATAGGCGTCCCATCAAACCTCCTAGGTCATGTCGCATTTAGTACATTCTAAAAAGGCAACCGCTTTATGGCCCAAGTCTGAGCACTTATATAGTAGGCTGATAGGACTCGACGTCTATTTGCTACGGGTTGTCATGTCAATCACTTTCTTCAGATCTTTTTATAGATCTCTTAGGATACGTGTTCTAAGGAGATGTTCTTCAATGGTTTATGAGTTACCTAATAAGTGTATTTTATATACTTATTCAAGGCCTTAAATGATGATATTTAGTGGCTTCTTTGATGAATTATGGTCTAAATTGTTGTATTTGGACTTGAATATGTAAAATTCAATGATGGTACAACAAATTGGAAGAAACGAGAGGAAAACCCAAAAAATCTGCGAAAACGGCAAGATTCAAAGTTCGGCGGAGCAAAATGTAAATACTCAAAAGTTGTGTCAAACCTTACGATAAAGATTCAAGAGTGTTAGGAATCAATCGGATAAGGAAAGAAGTTAAACGAGTAAAATAGAGTCACAGTATTCTCACAAATCAACTTCCAGCTGAAAAAAATTTTATTTCGAAATTTTAGCCTCTACCCATTTTTTGGTTAGAAAAAGTTCAAATTGGAGAAATCTATTCTAGAAGAATTTTATTCCTTCAAGTTATCTTTACTGTGCATTTTGAATTACCTCAATAAAATATTGAGAGAGAAAGATATAACCAAAATACTGAAAGCTGTCCGACGGAAAAAACATATAAATGTGTGGTCATGTGATCGCATGGTAAAATAAACCATGGGATCGTACATTACCATGCAGGGAGACTTCTGGGCGTCCAAGTGCTGAACCATGTGGTTGCATGGGTTTATACATTGCAATTGCATGGTATAAAAATTCAATCGATTCCCAGGTTTCCTTATACAATTCAAACTCCATTTAGCAAGGGTTTTGGCGAGATCTTTGACCTAAATACATACCATATAAATAACAAACGGCCCTAGAACATTGACAAATCTCTCTTTTAGACATTGAAACAACTAAACTCTTGGGGATTTTAAGGGAAATTGAGAGAGAATTCAAGAGAATACACATCACCAAATTTATTCTACTCGTTGGAAGGAAAATACATACAAATCAAGATTTGAAGGCAACATTCAAGGGATAATAACATCAAAAAATCCAAGTTTTGAAGCATCTATTGGAAGAATGAGAAGATCTTTGTGCAAGATTGATTTCTCAATGAGAATTCGAAAGGGGTAAATTGAGTACAATAGAAGGATTCGACCAAACACTACTTCAGATTTGATGAATCTTGATATCAGAAGTAGAGGGACCAATAGATGAAATTATTCTGCCCCAACATCCATTTATTATTTGAATTCTCAATAATTCTTTGTTGTATCCACACATTTTTCAATAATTAGATTAAAAATTACAACCAATCACCATTTCATTTATTTTAATCAAATTGAAGTTAGAAATAATAAATTGTATACTAAAGTATAGTTCTCATGAGAACGATAATCCGGACTCTTAGGTCCTCTTACTACTTGTTACGATCATTACACTTGCGAAAATAAAATTGACAACAGTACCCACTTCAGCAATATGGTCCTTGACCATATATGTTAAGCTTTGATGCTTGCAGCAAGAAGCGTATGGATGTCAACAAGTCGGGTCGAGTTGGGTCGCAAGTCAAAGATTGCGGCTCGGACACTGTTTGGGAAAAAATGACAACCCAAGAATAGCTAGCCGAGAGGAGAATAAATTGGTTATTAAAATTATTTTTCAATATTAATCTAAAATTTAAGCAAATTTGATAACCAATAAGTTAATCAAACAAATATGCACAAATATGAAGGTAATAAGTAAAAAGGAAGAGAGTGTGCAAACGATGTAATTGTGGAGGTTGGATCCCAACCGATAATCTACGTCATTTATTACCAAGCTTTCAATCGCGAGCAAGGTCTTTTCACTATATTGATTGATTTATGGTGCAATCCAACCCTTTACAACGCTTCTGGTGACTCACAATGAAGGAGCACCAATCCTTATACAATATTAAGCTTTACAGGACCTCAATATGACTTATAAATTTAAAGAGTATAATTTTACCATTTGAAACTTCTCTCTTATTAAATGATATAGTCAAAATTAAGTACAAAGAGAGAAATAAGTTAGCACTTTAATAAATAGTAATGAATAAAGCTCAAGTATTAGGTAAGAAAAATTTTGATGAGTAGAATGATTTTCAAAAGTTAACTCAAACAAAACTTTTTCAATGATTTGATAAAGATAAATAAAATATGTATTCAATGATTTGGCTCAAGAGTATCCCACTTTAATGCTCTCAAATAAGTGTTGAATTGAAGACAAAGTGAGCTGGTATTTATAGCAGTTAAAACATCAAGAGCTCTAACCAACCGAAAGACTCAACAGGACATCCGCTTCTGAACCGGACACCGACCTAGCCATTGTGCATTAGAAATCAGAACAATTAAAAATTTTGATAGTTGGATGAATCAAACTTTCTCTTGGACAGTGTTTTCTCGGATTTTTCCTTCTTTAATTGTTTTGAAACATGTAGACTTTTGAAGGATGTTTTTACTTAATTTTTCAAGGTAAGTGACATTTGTGAGAAGTTCAAATATCAAGTTGAGATTCTTACCTTTTGAAAAATAATTTTTATGCAAGCCGAAATAATTTTTCTCTTGCATAAAAATTCATTTTGAGCTTTTAATGATTCATTTTTGAGGATTAAAGCATTTTATCTTTACATATGAATCCAAAAACATCTAAGTTCAATGTCTTCAATGTTCGACCGTTGAAGTACTTGTCTTTGGCTAATTTGACATGAATGCTAGGCTTCCATCTCAATTTTCTTTGAACATCAATTGCGAGTCTTTTAATAGTGATCACTTTGTCTTCAATTGATCAACTTTGCAACAATAGTTGTAACGACTCGAATTCAATTGTTAGATATAAAAGCAATTTGTTTGTTATAATCAGAACATGAAGTAAACCATAGGTCAACAAAAAATGGCTTGAGCATTTTTGGCTTGAGTCGAGTCGAGCTAAAGCTCAATTAAAAAACTAAGGCTTGGCTCGAGGCTCGAGGCTCGAGGCTCGAGCCTTATCGAACCGAACCGAGCCAGCTCGAATTTTTTATTAAGATAAGCAGTAGGCAATTGCTTGCTTTAGACGCTGCATGATTGCTTGTAAAACGAACCACATTTCGGCTTCCCATGCGAGTCAGCCTATGTGGCTAGGTGAGCCGCACGGGCCAATTCGGGTTCGAGCCATCATTGAAAAAAAGGTTCGGCCCGACTCAAGCCATGAGCCGAACCAGCTCAAGCTTTTTACTTGCAGAGCAGCAAGCAGCCCAAGCCCACGAGCCGGATTGACATCCATAAAGAGGCGTCTTCATCTTAGTTGAAGATTGATTGCTTCGGCCAGAATGCCTTCACTTCGCCACACTTGTTGACATGGAATGTGAGCCTTTGCTGCGCATCTACTTGGGCTCCACATGGACTTTAGTTTGAGCATCAGTGGCAAGGCGTAACACTTAGGATAAATTATTATCTTAATATAATCTTATTACAATTTGATTAATTAATTTATTATGAAATTATTGAGGTACGAAATTCCAGTTCACGTGCTCAACATTAATAATCCAAGTCCTCCATTATCATGCCTGGTATGTGACAAATTTCAAGAGCCTACATTTGGCTTATATTTATCAACTATTTATAAACAATCAAGTCGTTATCCATATGTTTTGAGGGACTCACAAATACTACCCATTCTCATTTCAATCAATTTATAATTTAAAAAGTTTATAAGCACTTCCCAAAAACGAGTATTGAATTGCTTTAACCTTGGATGTGTTATTGTAATAGTTAGCAAAAGAACAAGGACACAACATGAATGACCGGGTAAATTAACTTAGAAACAAAAATGTTTAAGCAAATTAAGATGGAGATTAACTTAATATCATCAAGAGGCAAAATCTTTACCACTGATATTGGATAGTTATTCACTTAATGTAAAGAAAACCAGGAAAGTTTACATATGGAAGAAAATTCTATAAAAGAGAATGCAATATAGAGACGAAGACAACCCCAACTCTGCCATCAATAATGCTAGTAGGCAATGAGCTTTCTTCAGCTAATATTAGGCTTCTGAGTTCGTCCCACTAATATCCTCTAACATCCTCACTACCTCTGACATTTTTGGTCTATGCTCGGGAACCCTTTTAACACAATGCAACGCTATCTGCAAAAACTTCACCATTGCTTCCTCCATATTGGGATACCTCAACAACTCTGTATCAAACACTGCGACAGTCCAATCCTCATGAACAACAGAAGTAACCCAGCTGACTAGCTGAATTGCCTTGTCCTTATCTTCAGACAGTATAGATGGCTTTCCAGTAAATAGTTCTAGAAGCACAACTCCAAAGCTGTAGACGTCAGAGGCTTGGGACAATTTCTCTGTGTCTGTGACTTCTGGAGCTAGATACCCTGAAGATCGACTATCTAGCACCAAGTTTGTACCCACTAATGTTGCCAATCCAACATCTGAAACACAGCCATATCCTTGAGTAGTAAGGAAAATGTTCGAGGCTTTTACATTTCCATGTACAAGATGCTGGCCAACTTGTGTGTGGATGTGGGCAATACCCCTTGCTGCCCCACCTGCTATTCTTAGTCGAGTATCCCAATCTAAAGAAATTTTATTCTCACCAATTTTTCCTGCGAAGATGATAAAATTTGTAAGATTACAATCACTTGCAAAAATATTTTCTACAAAAGGTTGCCATTATATTGCTCCGAATAAGCTTGAAGAAAACATTGTGTGCTTGAATCGCATGATATTTTCTAACTACAAATGTTGTGAAGATATCAAAAAAGCTCCAGATTGATCCCTTGGAGAGTAAAACTGCAGCCACTAAATGTTAAAATTAGCATCTTCTAGACTATTGATTACCCCAAATCACTTCCAACATTAGCCATCTTCGAGAATACAAACAAGCATTTTAAAAGTGACCTAGTATATCAACCGTACATAAGACTTCAATTCAGATTACAAGTCAATGGATAACAATATAACCGAAATAAAAAGTTATGCTATAATCTAGTGATGATCTATGAAAGCAGGGGAGTAATATATCTTAATTTTTCTTGCCTATATTTCATTAGTTCTTCTAAACAATCTTTACAGAGCCATTTGCCTACAAAAAAGATGGATATAAAAATAATGTTGCAGACACAGTCTTTGTAATTTCAAGATCTACAGGTCATATGCACCGAGGGGAAGTAAGATATTTCAATTACCATGTAGCATGGAAGATAAACTCCCCGCACCATAATAATCATACACCATAAGCTTTTCTGCACGGGAGAAGTAGTATGCCATTAATGTAGCGACACTTTCATTCCTCAATCTCCCAATTACCTCCATTTGCTGCTGAAATTCTATACTTGTAACAATAACTTCCCTCAATCGCTTAACCACGATTGTACTCCCATTTTCCAGTGTTGCCTTGTATGAAGTCCCGAATATTCCCCTTCCAAGAACCTCCAAAGAAGCCCGCAACATATCTTCAAGGTCAAAATCAGGATTAAGACCCCCAATGAATACAAGCTTCGGCTGAAGGCCGTTTCTTGTATTCATCATACTAATATCCTCTATCATCTTCACTACTTGAGCCATATTAGGTCTTCTCCTTGGGGTTTTTGCAACACAACTCATCCCTGTTTCTAACATCTTTACCATTTGTTCCTCGACATTACGGTCTTTCAAAAGCTCCACATCAAACACATTAGCAGTTTGCTCCTTACCATTAACAGAATTAACCAATTTAACGAGGTCGACAGCCTCATCGCCACCTATGTCATGTAATGGGGACTTTCGAGTAAGAAGTTCAAGCAACAGAATTCCAAAGCTATAGACGTCAGACGCTTGTGACACATTCCGGGTATTTTTTACTTCTGGGGCATGGTACCCAGCATTTCGCATGATTGGTGATGGAATCATGCTTGCCAAGCCAAGATCAGACACGCAACCGTACTTTTGTGAATTAAGGAAAATATTTGATGATTTTATGTTTCCGTGAACAAGCTTCCCACCACTTTGCTTGTGAATGTGAGCAATACCCCTTGCTGCACCCACTGCTATTCTTAGTCGCATTTCCCAGTCTAATGGATCCCGATTCTTGCCAGTTTTTCCTGTGTAGATGAAAAATGCATTGGATTGCACAGTGACATTTTCATATTTCCCGTATGTTGATTGAGGATTAATAGTAGGTGTTAGAAAGATCATGAGAAATGACATATCCAATGGATATTTATCCACCAATGAATTAATATGACATATCACCAGTGCTAATATTTATCCACCAATGAATTAATATAACACATCACCAGTGTTTAGTATAAAATGAGCATCGGTTTTCATTATATCATTTCTCGAAAGATCATATGTTAAAATTAACTATAAGCTATAAATTGGTTTCGCAGTAGAATTGAGTCATTCAAAAATGTGAACCTGCCAATTACATGCTTAAATTTAATTTCTCTGCAGAATGCATCAATGAAAAAGCCATTTTCAAAATCAAAGCTTGTATGAGGTAAGAATTTTAAAATAAAGACAGCCTTCCTCATGAGATTGCCACATTAAGGGGGTATTTGTTTCCCATTTTTGTAAAAATGATAATGAAAAAATATAGCCGTTATGGACTCCACATAAGAGATAGAAATTCAAATTTGGTGACTTGATGTGATAGATAACGGTCATATTTTTCATTTTAATGGGAAACAAATGGGGGCTAAATGTTACTCTGTGATTCTGACAACAGACAACAATAAATGATCATTATGCATATTGATAAATCAACTATTGGTGACCAACGCAAGAACCTAAATGCAAGCTGATCATCAGTTTATGGACATTGAAATGAACAACCAGTCAAAATAAATGTATGTATTACACGAATGCATCAAATAGCTGCTGAAACATTTAGTATGCTAAGAATTTTTCTTCAGATGTATAAAAAACGTGGGAACAAGAAATGAAGTCCTGGAGTTCAACATACCATGTAACATTGCAGATACACTGCCATTCGAGTAGTGATCATACACCATGGGCTTTTCATATTTGGAAAAATAGTAAGCCCTCAATGCACAAACATTGTCGTGTCTTATATTTCCAATAACCTCCATGCGGTTTCTGAACTTCTTTTTTGAAATATTCACTTCATTCAAACTTTTCACCATAACTGTTATTCCATTATCCATTGATGACATATATGCACTTCCAAATGTTCCCTTCCCTAGAAACTTTCCAGAAGACCTCAGCATATCTTCAAGGTCAAAAACAGGACTAAAATTCTGAAAAAATACCATCCCAGAGACCTCCTGCTTAACATAGTTTTCTTTCTTCTGCGAATTTTTAATTGCAGGTGGAGGTAGCTTCTGATACTGAGATGAACCTCCGGGGCTTGAAAAGTCAAAAGGCCCATCAAGGACTTGAAAATTAAAACTGATATCAGAAGTTATGGAGCTGTCACTTGGGCTCTGATCATGAAACATTTGCCATAGTTGCTCTCTCCGAATCACAGCCTCCACCAATCTCTCCCAATTATCATAGTTATTCGACATCTCTCTTTCAGTTTCAGCCCTCAAAATCCTCTAGAGAGAGTTACCCAAGACAACAGTAGAATTATTCAACAATCAACGCGTAATCCCAATATTCTATTAGCATTGAAAACATGTTGTTGACGTTGACCTCCGTGGGTGGCCTTTTCGTCTTTAAAAAATTATACAGTCTCACTCACAAGTGCTGGAATCCATATAGGCTTCAGAAAAGGGTGGATAAATCCTCCCTGATAGTTATTACCCAATAGCCCCAAAGTACAATTCCACAAAACAGAAAATCCTATAAATATTAGAATCCAACAACCTCCAAAAACAACTTCTGGGAAATTGCAGAAACCTGTAAATAATCATACGAGTCAAAAAATGGGTCTAAACAGGACTACAAGAAAAACTTTAACTGGTCGTCAATTTGTTTCCTCCAATGATATTCCCATGCATTTTTACCGTCATTAAAACAAATCCAGTATACCAGAAACAGTGGTATGATGGGGAATTCTAAGAATCCATAAAGCCGTAACCAAACAGAAGACCAACGGCAAAATGAAATGAGAGGTATTGTAGCCACATTCCAGAAACTGAAATTCGAGCTCAGCCTGAACCGCCATTTCTTTTGGATTGATTTCGTGTTCCTTGATTCAAATATTGAGAATTTGTTCCATTACTTTCCCCCTTTCGATTTTGCTAAAGTACATATTAGATAACAGTTAAAAAAAAAATTTCATTGAGACATACCATTGAATTCAAAACTTCTTTCTATTTTTTATTTTAATAACACATCCTCCAAAAAAAATTAATATTTTAAAACTCATTTTCTCCCAAGAAAAAAAGAAAGGAAAAATTGGTGCAAATGGTCCCAAGTCTTTTCCTTCATTTTAGAGATTATTGCAACAGAAGCCTCGAGCATTTTAGAAAACACTAACAGGCTTTCTCCTAACAATTTATTTGTTGCAATTGTCATTCCAAACCTTTTAAAACATTACATCTGAGGCACTTTGGATGGAATTCGTCCAATTTACCGTTCGTTGACATAAAAACTTGATTTTGACTATATTTTAACTATTTCTATAGGGACAAAATGGTAAACTTAATATATTTTCATGTAAATATAATAAAAAAGGAAAAGAAAACCAGAAAAGTCAAACCAAATCCACAGCCGACCGACAGCCAAAATGACCCAAAAATACCCACACCGACGATATCACGCCAATAACACATTATAACAAACAAACAAGCTAAACAACAATTTTAGAGGAAGAAATTTGTCAAAAATAGCTTTTGTTTTCGATTCCTTCACAAATAGAGAAAACCAATTCCGGCGACACCCATTACCGTCGTACATTCTGATGGAACAACATCACCAACCAAAATATTACTGCAATTTCTCTGAAGACGTACCTAGTTCGCAAAATCGCCACAGGCAATCATGACTCCTCCAATTGACAGGTCCCACACTGTTTTTCATCCAATAGCGAACAGTCGAATGCTCAGCACTATAATGCCACCTTGAATATAAAATCAATTGAACCAATTCAACTTTTAATTACTATATTCATTATCGTATGATGAAGAAGAGCAAGATATACTCTGAGCTTGAAAGTTGTGATGAATTTATGAACTATCCAAATAAAAATGTTCAACACCACAGTTATTGATGGCACTGATAGCGGCTACTTTCACTCTTCTTTTCCTTCTTGAAACGAACCCCACAAGCCATGTAAAGTGACCACCAAATTCATAGTCATTATAATTATATGAAAATATAGCAAGTTTACCATTTTGTCCTTATAGAAAAAGTTAAAATATGGTCAACATCACTTTTTAGGTCAACTAATGATAAATTGGATGGATTCCATCCAAATGGGCCTCAAATGCAATGTTTTGAAAGGTTTGGTGTGACGCCTGCAACAAATGAAAGGTTAAGAGAAAGTATTCTAGTGTTTAAAAAGTTTGGAGCCACTGCTACAATTATCCTTTTATTTTATTTTGAGTCCAAACCTTTCAAATGTAGCAGAAATTATTCCAAACCTTTCACTTTTGCACAAATGATCCTTTTAGATGGATCGCATTCAAAAGGACTAGTTTTGTCCGCAAATATAATTGTCCTTATTTTGTTTTTATTAAAATAGAAGAGAATTGAAATGTTAAAAAACGTGGAAATAATAATAATAATAATAATAATTTATTATTATTATTATGTTTCCAGTATCATACTCCATCCCACCCCCACCAACAGGCAGGGATGTCACGGGTTCGGATCGGTCCTTTAACCCACGAGCTCGTGAGCTCACGGGCCGAGCCGAGTCCATGAGCCGCTCGCGAGCTTGTGATTTTTTAAAAATTTTTTAGCTTTTTTTTTGGGTAAATTTACACATTTTTTACGAGCGCACGAGCTAGGCTTGTGGGCTCGTTGGCACACGGCCCACGAGCCGCTCGCGAGTTCGACTTGTGGGATAAAGTCCCCTGCTTGGCTCGAGCTCTTCATTTGACGAGCTCGAACCGCCCACGAGTCGTTCGACCCGTTTGACATCCCTACCAACAGGAACCATGAGATTTTCTCCTTGGGTTTCCCCTCTATTGGCAAAATCCAGGAAAAGCCTCTAGAGTTTTCCCATTTTCTTCCTTTTTTT